CCCAAGTGCCAGAATGCAGATTCAAGTGCTAAGACAGCCTGGAGAGGACCAGCCTCTCGCTGTGGGCAACAAGGACTTTGGACCCAGCCCAGAATGCAGCAGCCAGGGGAACTAAACATCCCTGTCCATACTGTGGGCCACTGCTCACTGCTCTTCCATAGAGCTGTGTTTGCCTGTGTGCAGCAATGACGGTCTCTTTTTGGTTTAGAAAGGCTTTTACAGAGAGCTGGCTGCTTAATGGTACCTTAGATCAAAATCCTTCTCTGCCAGTTGCCCAAACTTCTCGGGTTTAAGGTTGTGAGTTTTTATTATCCTTTGCTTTTAATGAATGTTATCTTTCAGAATAGGATTGTGTGATAGTGTATAAATAACAAAAAACATAATTAAAACAAAATATGATTTTTGTGCAATTAGGTACTGAAAGAAAAATAAAATGTTTCTTGATTAAAAAAATAAAGTATTTGTTGCGGAAGATTGATTGTTCAGGTGGTGATCGGTAGTTTTTCCATTTCTGCTCTTACTTAAATTGTATTCTGAACACTGGTATGTACATTACCTAATGAATTGTGCTATTATTTTTAGATGTCGCAGAAAGCTTGTATTCTTAAAATTCTTATTAATTTTTTTGTTACAAAATGATCACACTCCTAAGGAATTTGTATTTATACATGATATATCCTAATTCCTTTTTTTCCCCCAATTCTCTCCCCATCCTTCAATCCCTCTTCCTAGTTTTTGTTTTTTTATCCTTCTGTAGTATTTTTCCCCTTCTGTCCCCCACCCTTCTTTTTTTTTCCCCACCCTTCTTTTGAAAAGTTTTGTCTTACAATTCCTGTTATACATGTTGGTTTTTATTTACACTTTCAGTTTCTCACACTGGACAAACAGTACAATATTTACAAATGTGTGTATCTGATTTATTTATTATCTTGAGGCCAAGGATATAGCCCATGGCACAAGTGCCTCTCTGGCAAGTGCAAGGTCCTAAGTTCAGTTCATGGAACAAAAAAATTAAAAAGGTATGGTTTCAAGGTACTTCCATTTACCTAAAAATGTCTTATGTTTATCCTTCTTTTGGCTGAGTAGTACTCCATTGTATAAGATTGTTTTTATCCATTCCTCAGCTGATTAGCTATTACAAACTGTGCTGCTGTAAACATGGGTATGCATATATCACTGCAGTATGATATTTTTGATTCTTTCAGGAAGATACTCAAAAGGAGAATAGGTGTTAAACAGGACCTCCAGTCCTAGTTTTTTGAGGATTCTTCACACTGAGTTGCAACAGTGGAGGAGGGTTCCTTTTGTCCTATAGCCCTGACAGTGTTTGTTACTGGTTGATTACATAATAACTGTTCTTTCTGGAGTGAGATGGAATCTTAGTTTTAATTTATATCTCTTGAGTGAACAGTGATGTTGAACATTTTTTTCATAGATTTATTTGCTGTTTGTACACCTTTATCTGAGAGGTATATATTCATCTCAGATGCCCATTTTTGGATTGGGTCTTTAAATTTGGGGAGTCTTAATTTTTTCAGTTCTTACATGTTTTAGATATTATTCTTTTGTCTCAGGACAGTTGGCTAAAGTTTTTTTTCCTTTTTTGGTGGTACTGGGGGTTGAACTCTGGACCTTGCGCTTGCCAGGCAGGCAAGTGCTTATTCTGCTGAGCTATCTCCACAACCCTAAATTTTAGGGTTTTTTTTTTTTTTTTTTTTTTTTGTATTTTTGCTTTTTTCCCATTTTGTGGGTGGTCTTTTCAGTCTACTGATAATTTCTTTTGCTGTGCAAATGTATTTCCCATGCAGTTGGCATTTTGTCTAGAAGTCCTTGTGTACATCTGTATCTTGAAGAGTTGTACCTATTTTATCTTCCAGAAGATTTAGTGTTTGTTTTAAAGTATAATGCTCTGATACATTTTTATTTTATTTTAGTGCATGGTAAGAAACATGGGTCTAGTTTTAGTCTTAAGAAAGCCCATATTTTTAACTGTTGAAACTGGGTTAATTTGTGCTACTACAAGTGAGGTTTGACTTCTGTCCTACTTTCGTCAATTGAGCCTAATTAAAGATTCAACTTTTCAGGTTAGAACATGTTTGTTTGTTTGTTTTTCTTTTTGTCTGGAGGAAGAAAAAAAAAAAGGAAGGGTAAAGAGAGCAAGAATCACAGAGAAATGGATTCTTCTGGTCTATCTTCCTTATAAAGCAGTCAGGATTTCAGCATGTGGACTCTGCCTGTATGATTGTATCCATCTTTAATCACTTCCCAAAGGCTCCACCTCTTAAATAGCATAGTAGGATTAGATTTTACTCTTAACATTTCAAAACGGCATTTAAATTTAAACACAGGACCACTCGGGGGACAACTCAAACCATCTCCAGACTCTAGCATACCCCGTTTGGGAAATGTGAAGATGGAAGAAAGAGAGAGGACTGTAGAGTTTGCAGACAGAGAAATCTTTAAGAACCTAACATAGGATAGGAATATACTTTACTGGTGTGAATCTCCCTCACACACATACACATGCAATGATAAAAGGAAAAGTAAAAGATGATCAGGATGTGGATGATCAAGGAGGAGGAATGGGAGGATTGACAAAATTTAATCATTTTCCTACATGTGATGCTTGAGAAAGGCAGAATTCAGGGACCTGGGGAGAGATTTTGGGCTCCATGATCTGAAAATAAGGGTGAAAGAATACACAGATAGCTAATCTGAGGAGTAAATTTGAATAGCTTGAGAAAATATGGTCTCCTAAGCACTGGTGCAAAGGAATAAGAAAAATTTATCTGGTTATGACATTGTTTTTCACATGCTTACTTCCTTTTTATATTGTTTATTACCTGTACGTTACAGCTGGACTGGGAGTGTTTAAATTACTTCTTTTGGATATATTTAGAGCAAATGCCCATCAGTTTCAGTGTTTGTGTTTTTAAGGTTACTTGATGTGAGGCTAAGTAATTTAGTTGCAGTTCTGGTTACCTTTTCCTATACTTGCCCTTGGCCCAAATAACATTTAAGAAAAACTGTTACGTTTATATTTTTCCTCATTGTCAAGACTCCAGAATTTAACTGTTTTGCTCATTTTAGTGAGGAATAGATACGCCTTTATTCCATCAGCAAAATGGAACTTTGAGACTTGAATCTTGCTTTAGGGTTAGAACAACTTCAACTCTGTACCTGTAGTTCACATAATAGACTTTAAAGCTGGCAGGGACTTAGAAGGTTTTGCAATTGTCTAGCATAGTCCCTGCATTTTTCAGAATATTAATGTAAGGTCAGGGAAATAATAGCTAACATTTTATTTAGCTCTTGGCTCTTATATACATATAATCATGTGATATAAGTGATTTTCCTACAGTCATATATAAAGTGGTAGGATAGCTGGTTGTAGGACTGTTTCCTTTATGAATGTACTTTATATAGTTTAGCTCTGCATAAGAGAAAAGTTTTTTCCATTAGTAAATAGTTTCTCTCATATTTAATTAGTAAAATAATAATTCCAGTAGTCTAGACACTAATCAGTACAGTAATCTATATCATATAGTAAAATGTGTATGTTTTGTGAGTCTATAATGTGGGGCAGCAACACAGGTAAGGTTCTTTTCTCCATGGTTCTAGCAATCATTACTGTTTGCGATTCTGTTTTTGATTTAAATGCTTGTTTTGTGTATGTCTTGATCATCATTTTTAATGAAAGAATTTGACAACTGATACTAAAATCTAGCTGAATATAATATTCTTATTTATTTATTTATTGGTGGTACTGGGGATTGAACTCAGGACCTTGTACTTGACAGGCAGGTACTTATTCAATGAGCTGTCTCCCTGCCCCTCATTTATTATTTTGCATTCAAATTATAAAATCCAGGGCTCTTGTTTAGTAAGTTGAGGGCTTTTTTCTTGTGGTATGTTTTTATCAGAAAGTAATTTTACTAAAATTTCTTTAAAATCAGGTTTAAAAAAAAACTGAGGTAAATATATATTTAAATATAACGAAGTTAATTTTTTGATAATTTTAAGCATACAGTTCAATTAACTGAATGTACTCCCAATATTGTGCTACCATCATCACTAATTATCATTTCATACAACTTTTTCATCATCGCAAACCGAAACTCTTTTAATACATTTAGTTTCAAATATTAGAGGATTATTCCTGATTTTTTTTTTTTTTTTTTCTAACGAGACTGGTCTTTCCCATCTTTTAGTAACTCAATATTCAGTGTAATCTGTGTATATTTATTAAATGCTGTTTATTGTTTGAATTAGAATAGTTTCTTTTGATTTATATATTGTTCGTATGTCTCTGAAAATTGCATCCTTTTTTCTGTAGTAACTTTATAATTGTTTCTTTTGGAATAATAAAATATATATGCATGAAGTTTGAAGGAGATTAAGGTAAATAATATAATCACAAAGAAAATTTTATTGAAAAGGAAAGAAAGATTATGGGTTAAGGACTGAGATATACAAAAAGTCTGGCAGTCTCAGATACAACAGCTTTCCTTTCTTTTCTGTTAATGCCTAGAACAGGATGCACACGCACTTTAGGCATATTTGATCTAAAAAGAATTCATCCCATAAACACTGGGTATAAACTGGACTCAACAGGAAGGACTTCCTCCTTCTCTGTGACTTTTTATGCTCCAAAATACAGCTCTTTAAAAGGTTTTAAAAAGTTATTTCAAAAAGTATAAGTACGCCTTTGAGATTACATTCTTTTTATTCTGCTAAAATGTGACATTTCTTTGCTTACTTTCTTATTCATAGGAATCACATACTAGTGTTGCATAATAAAGAAATGGAGACATTGTCAGAAAACATTTCTCATTTTTTATACAGTAAGAAGTTAAGAAAATGAGCATGAAAATCATTTGAATTTTCCGTTTACATATTAAGCAGTAGCATATTAACATACTAAGCAGCAGTGTGGTTTTTATCTGCATTAATTATTTTGTTTTAAAAAATGACACACTGATGAAATGTATTTATTTTAGCTAAAAGATGGTGGCAAGGCATCCCAGGCAAAAGTGAGAATAGGCGATGTGGTCCTCAGCATTGACGGAATAAGTGCAAATGGGATGACTCATCTGGAGGCCCAGAACAAGATAAAGGGCTGTACAGGCTCCTTGAATATGACTCTACAAAGGTAAATTGTTTTTTGTTTGTCTCTGAGAGAAAATAATATAGAGGAATGTTTTGTGTCTGGTTCATGGTGTTAAATAAGAAAAACTATTACCATTTTTTTCTAGTAGATAAATGAAAAAATGTAATGACTTTTCAGTTGGATAATTGAACAGTATGAATATCACTGAATGTTACGGATTATTTCTTCATATAAAGGCATGTATTCACATAGTCATACAAATTAGTTTCAGAGAATTCAAGAATTCCTGAAATTTCTTAGTGAAGTATAGGCTTTGTGCACGTTCTTTGTGCGGTGGCAAAATTCTTGTCCTTAATATTTTCAACAGTATATTAGAGAGTACTGTTTTAGAATGCAATTTGACTTTCTTAGTTTGCTTTTTCAGTTTTTATTTTAAACAGAACATATTCACATAAAGGCTGGTCTTTAAGAAAAATTTAATGTCTTTCTTAAAGTTACTCTGACTTCAATTATAAAATAGGTATCTTATTGATCATAATAATGTTTATCTATCTTTTTGAACATCTCAACATTTGACTTGAATTGAAATTAACTTGCAGTGTGTGTTAAAAATGTAGACACAAGGCTGAACCAGAATTTATGAAAGGATTTTTTTCTTTTTCTTTCTTTTTTTTTTTTTTTCTCCTGAAAGGATTGAGAACATATTTAGTTGAGTTACCTGTGGTTATAATGAGTTGTAAAGGTGGAAATATCTCTGACTTAGTTTAAAGTAGGAGCATAAGGGAATGGAGATAGCATGACTGAATATCTCTGAACCTTTAGGTTTATAGGGGAGGCATGACCATTTACTATGTGGTTATGGAGGGTTTTACATAGTCTTGCTTTTGGTGATTGTTGAAAGTGTTCTGTCTTCTATTAAATTTAGAAAACACTACCTGCCCCCAAAGCACTTTGCAGTCTTCTTTCTATACATATTGTGACTCTTTCACAGGGAAATTAAATGTGTGGTACCTTCCAAAGGTATTTGATTGCATTTCTTGAGCTTCTCCTGGGTGTAGTGTCCTATGAAATGCATATTGGAGAAGCTTCTGTGTTCCTTGCTATTCCTCTTGTAGGGATTGTTATTAAAAAAAATAAAATAAAGGGCTTATACAGGATAAGTTATACTTACATCTCTGGGTAAGGATCAATTTAAAATTGAACAGAAAAATAGTTTTTAACACTGAGACTTAACTGTAGATCCACTTTGAGGTATAATGACTTTCTAATGCTCTTTGGGGGGGTCTTTATTTAGTGGGAGAAGTTTCTTTAGGTAGGTCTGCTGAATTAATTGGTTTAGATATATTTAAAATTTGATAGCTATTAGCTATATATTTTGATATATAAAAAAGTAATAAATGAGAAAAACCTAACATTGCTAAAATTCTGTCTCAGTAGTATCCTTGTGTTGTGTATATTGAGATATGTAACATAAAAATTAAAGGTTACCTGAAGATATTCATTCTTATTTACAGGCATTTTTGCCAGGTCTGAATTTTGAAAGAGAACCAAGAGCACAAGAAACTTTACTTGTCTAAGATAATTAGGAAACAAATATAAATGGTGATGGACTCTTTCTAACATTCAAAAATGCAAAGTTTATATGATAGTATAAACACTTTTCCCTAGCTAAATTATTATTATTTTTTTTCAAACTAGCCTGCTTGTTTTCACATTGTGCTTCTTATTTTATAACTAAGGACCCAGTATCTTATTTTCTATTGAAAACACTCTGGGCCTCATAAGAATAGATGAAAACCAGATGTTACTCTGTTTGGATCCATTTCCAACTTAAGCAGTCTGCTACTGACTCTAGTAAAGATTCTTTAAAATTTCTGAAGTACAAAATCTTAACAAAGCAACTTATAAAACCAACTTGCTGTAGACATTTGGAGGTTCTACTTTATCTTATCTTTCCATTTCAGAATGTAGATGTTCAGGAACCTGACATGAGAGAGAAATTTATTGTAATTCTCATGGTCTTGAAAATTTCTCATGTTAGGGAATATCATGATTTTTGATATAATATATATTTAAGAAAATTCTGTGGCATAGCAGTATAATGTTACTGAAGAAATACTTTTGCTTTTTAAGGAAAACACATTGAAGAGTTATGTTTGAGTTGTATCTGTCCTGGGGCCATTTTTCTCCTTTAATTTGTTCTTTTGCTTTTATAAAGCAAATATTTCTGTAAATTTGCATGACTTCTGAACTGATCTCCATTCACTTATCCCTCATTAACCAACTATTCTGATTCCAACCTGAATCACGTACAATTTCTCTCTTTTTCCTTATAAACATGTGGTTTTCTTTGTGAAAATGTAGTCTTCGTTACAGACTTGTGTTATCCTTTCCCTAAAAGCAGAACCAAAGATGGGGCTTCCGCTGCTAGTGAGACAAAGGTTCTTCTTTCAAATATTACTTGTAAGAGAGTGAAGCACGGTCAGGAAGAGGGGAAACAGAGATAAAGTTGTGGCTTCAGGGGATAGCTAGCTTCACACTATCCACCAGGGAACTTGGAAATAAAATTATGCTATAGAATCTTGCCTTAAGGCAAGAGAATTTGGGCTTTTGCTCCCCATTCCTTGCATTAATTCTTGGCTAGCAGCTGTTTAGAATAGAAAGAGGAGTAGGGAGAGGACCAGGAGGGAGTTTTTGTTGGTTGTACAGAAAGTTCCTGCTGTGCCCCTGAGTGGGATCCAAGGTTTACGTGGGGAATAAAGTGTAATACTGGTAGGTGGGTTCCTACATCCTCCCCAGATGGAACTCCTTAACTCAGCAGCTACTGTTCTTTGTGTCCTAGTCACATACCAGATTACCACTATTCATTTCTGAAGACCTTCCATTCTGTATAGGATAGACTTTTCACTCTCTCTCTCACATGTCTTTATGCCCTCCTATGAAATTTGTTTCATCTGGAATGCCCAGCACCTCTGCACTGCCATCGTGTACCATCATACCTACAAAGCCAGCACCCAACCTCATATCTTGCTCATTACTTTTTTGCTTCTCTGACCTTGTAGGCATTAGTTTGGTATAGTCCTTTTTTCAGTATGAAGTAGTAGATATAGTCAAGAATAATGTTAGTTCCATGAGTCATATACAAATAAACCTAGTAAGTTAATGGTTTACCTGATAATGTCTTTATTATTAACATTATTCCATGTATGTTGGTTCTATTTCTCCAATAACACTTTTTGAAAGCAAAAAAAAGTGGTTTTTTTACTATTTGTGCCTGACAACCTCTTATATACAGTTGTATGTTTTTTCTTTTGTTTGTTTGTTTGTTTTGGTGGAACCAGGGATTGAACTCAGGTCCTTGCACTTGCCAGGCAAGTGCTTATTCTACTGAGCCATCTCCCCAGCCCCCTAGTTTTATGTTTTTGATAGCTAATAAATAATTATTTAATGCATATTTCAGAAATGTTTATTGAACTTTTACTATGTGTTAGGCATTATTATACGTAATGAGGGCATAAAAATGAACAAAACAGACAAAAATCCCTCTGTTCATAATACTGGCATTTCAATAGACAAAAAATAAACAGGAAAGCATAATGCATAGTATATCATGTGGCAGTAAACACTATGGGGAAGAATAATGACAGAGAATGCATAGATAGGGAATTTCAATTTAAAATATAGTGGTAAAGAGAGCCACAGAGAGGTTGTGGGTTGGAGCATCCCACGCAGAGGAGAAACCAGTGCATGGTCCTACTGGGGCAGAATGTGTGAAGGCAGACTGGTAGGAGTTCAGGTCAGAGAGGTAGAAGAGAGCTTGTAATGTTTGTACTTTTCCTGGGTGTATGAAGGTAATTGTGAGAGTTATAGCTATATGGCCGTATCTAGAGCAGAGTTTTGGAGAGGAGTGACCTCATGATTGGAAAGGGTTGCCAGAGGAAGTACAGTGAAGCCTTCCCTAGTCTCAGTGGGCACTGCCTTTTCTGTATAACTCTGTGTAATGCCTCGTTATTGCCATCCTGCCAGGTTCTAATGGCCTCTGCATGAGAACAAGGGGTGGATATGTGAGAGGGAGAGAAAACCCATTTTTTAAAAACTGAAATTTATCAGCAGCTTTGTTTTGTGATTTTTTTTCTATTAAATGTTTTGTATATCCACTCATTTTTTAAGAATTGTGTTTTTAAAAATTTTTTTTGACTTCATTGTTGCATTTAAAGGCAGTAAACTACCATTCTGGCCTTGCCCCTAGGATGTGCTGAAACAGCATTTGAGACTGGGCATGGTGGTGCATGTCTGTAATCCTAGCACTTAGGAGGCTTAAACAGGAGAATCACTACGAGTCTGATCTAGTAGTGAGACCCTGAACACCCTATAGACCCTTCCCTAAAATACAGAAAAAAAACCCCTAAAAGCAAAGGCAATAAACTAAAATTGGATTTAAATAAAAACAAGACAAAGATACTTGCTTAAGGTTGTTTATAAATGTTATTTCTATCTAGTTCAGTTAGGAGACATGTTATAAGACTTATTTTCCTGGGGTAGCCTAAAAAATAAGATTTATTCTTTATACTTTGGGTAACTAACAAATATAGAGCTAAAGGAGATTTTGTGTATATTCTTGTAAAGGATTGAGTTTTTGTTTTTCTTCTGTAATTAAAACTAATTCTAGGAATACTACAATTAGACCATTAAAATCCTATTTAAAGTTTTGTTTTGGGGCTGATGAGATAGCTCAGCAGATTAAGTGCCTGCTTAGGCAAGCACAGGGACTAGTGTTCAATTCCCAGTACTACATGCTGCATTGGCTCCGCCCCCGGGCGTGCTAAGCCTTGGACTGAGTCCAGATGTGGTGGTGCTGGGGAGGCTGTAAGGAGGATCACTACGTAGTGAGACCCTGTACCAAATGCATAAATAAAATAAAATAAATAACATAAAAATAGGGGCCAGGGAGATAGCTCAGTAGAATAAGTGCTTGTCTGGCAAGCACAAGGGCCTGAGTTCAATCCCCAGTTCCACCAAAATAAATAAATAAATAAATAAAT